GGGGGGGGGGGGGGGAATTCCAAGGGGTTTTTTGGGGGGAAAAAGGGGAATTTTGGGGGTTTTGAGTTGAAAAAATGAGAGTTTTGGGAATTTTTTCGGGATGAAAAGGGGAATTTTGGGGATTTTTGGGGGTAAAAAGGGGAATTTTGGAATTTTTCGGGATGAAAATCAGAATTTTGGGAATTTTTTTAGGATAAAAATTGAAATTTTTGGAATTTTTTTAGGATAAAAACAGGAATTTTGGCATTTTTTTGGGATGAAAACCAAAATTTTGGGATTTTTTGAGGATAAAAATCGAAATTTTGGGAATTTTTTAAGGATAAAAAGAGGAATTTTGGAAATTTTCAGGATGAAAATCGAAATTTTGGGAATTTTTGGGGGTAAAAAGGGGAATTTGGGAATTTTTTGGGATGAAAATCAAAATTTTGGGAACTTTTTAATATAAAAAGGGGAATTTGGGAATTTTTTAGGATAAAAATGGGAATTTTGGGAATTTTTTGGGATAAAAATCAAAATTTTGGGAATTTTTGGGGGTAAAAAGGGGAATTTTGGAATTTTTTGGGATGAAAATCAAAATTTTGGGAATTTTTTAGGATAAAAAGGGGAATTTTGGGAATTTTTTTGGGTTAAAACGAAGTTTTGGGAATTTTGGAGGGTAAAACGGTATTTTTGGGATTTTTCAGGAAGAAAATCAAAATTTTAGGAATTTTTGGGATGAAAACGGGACTTTTGGAACTTTTTGGGATAAAAATCGAAATTTTGGGAATTTTTTTGGGATGAAAAACGGGAATTTTGGGAATTTTTCGGGATAAAAATCAAAATTTTGGGCATTTTTGGGGGTAAAAATGGGAATTTTGGAATTTTTTTAGAATAAAAATTGAAATTTTTGGAATTTTTTTAGGATAAAAAGATAGACTTTGGAATTTTTCAGGATGAAAATCAAAATTTTGGGAATTTTTGGGGGATAAAAATCGAAATTTTGGTAATTTTTTTGGGATAAAAACGGGAATTTTGGAATTTTTCGGGATAAAATTCGAAATTTTGGAATTTTTTGGGATGAAAATCAAAATTTTGGGAATTTTTAGGGGTAAAAATGGGAATTTTTTCGGATAAAAATCGAAATTTTGGGAATTTTTTAGGGGTAAAAACGGGAATTTTGGGAATTTTTGGTGAAATCATCCAAATCCCCACAAAAACCCCCAAAATTCCCAGAAAAACTCACCAAAAAAAAAAAAACTCCACAAAAAACTCCCAAAATCCGACCAAAATTCCATCCAAATTCCACAAAAAATTCCCGCCAAACCCCCAAATTCCGGAATGTTCCGGGAATTCCCGCCTCTCTCTCCTCACCCT